GCCCTGCGCCTTCATGTAGGACACCAGCTGGTCCGGGATCTCGGCCAGGACGTCGCGGGCCAGGCGCGCCATGCTCAGCACGTGGTTGCCGGTGCGGTCCACGTAGTCCCGGAAGGGCACGAACTGGCGGGCGGGAGGCAGGGTCAGGTCCGCGGCACCCCCGGCTGGACCCTGACCCCCCCTCCGCCCCGGGGGAACCGGGGCGCCCCATTCACTCAGCGGGTGAGCACCGCGCACGGAGCACTTCCTTGCCCACACCCACCGTGGAACCCCGCACAGGGCACCTGACTCCCGGTCTCCTCCCACCCCTCTCCTAGCCCCCCTTCTCTTCTCTTTGGGATGAATTAGGACCTGCACCCAAATCCGGGCCCCTCCGGCTTCCTCCTGGGAGAAGGGGCCAGGGAGGGGACATGCTGGCCTCTCCCCCCGCAATGCCCTGGTTCTGGGGTCTAGCCTCCTAATTTGGCTCTCTAAACCTCTTTTTCTTTCTGCTTGCCTGGCCTAGGGCTTGGGTGCTGCCCCTGCACCTCATTGTGTCCACAGCTAGTGCTCCACCACTTGAGCCACAGCACCACTTCCAGCGTGTTCAGAGTGGTTATCGGAGGTAAGAGTCTCCCAGACTTTTTTGCCCCGACTAACTTCAAACCATGATCCTCAGATCTCAGCCTCCTGAAGTAGCTAGGATTACAGGTGTGAGCCACTAGTACTCAGCTTGGCTGTGTTTTTTTTTTGTTTGGAATCTTAATAAGCCATAGGGATTCAGGTTGAAGGACAGTGGGGGACGGGCTTGCCCAGGTGGGGAGCACTCCTGGCCTGGTTGAGAGACCTTGTCCCCAAAGACCGAGCCCTTTGTGCTCACGGCCTTTGTGACCTGGTGGACGTGTAGACTCTGATGCCGATCAGTAAGGCTGCCACCTACCTGCACGAGGACTCATCTCCCTGGGGAAGGCAGAGAGAGCACCAGTGTGCCCCCTCGGAGTCCTGGGGTACCAGCAACCTTAGGGGTGGCAGGAAATGGTCTAGAGAGAAGTGTGGCCAAGTTCTAGCTCCTCCTGCTTCCTCCCGTGGGGGCCTCGTGGGGCTCCTGGGCCCCTCTCCCCGGGGAACCTGCAGGATGGGTGGTGAGGCCGGCCTGGCTGGAGGGCCCTGCACACTTCCTGTGCAGCAGGCAGGGTCTGGGGCTTCACCTGGACGATGTCCCGCTCCGCCAGCTTCCCCCGGGAGGAGATCCGCACATCATCCCCGTCCAGCTCCACCATGGCTGTGGGGAGGGGAGGGAGATAATGGACAACGTGTGGGATCTGTGTGATCATGGACTTGGCCTCCAAGCTCCAGCCAATCTACGCCTCCCACCTCACGTTAAAGATGAATTGGAGGGGGGAGAGGGGCTGGGAATGTGGCTTAGTGGTAGCATCTTGCCTAGCGTGCATGAAGCCCTGGGTTCGGTTCCTCAGTACCACATACAGAGAAAAAGCCAGAAGTGGAGCTGTGGTTCAAGCCCTAGCCTTGAGCAAAAGAAGCTCAGGGACGGTGCCCAGGCCCTGAGTTCAAGCCCCAGGGGCTGGAGAAAAAAAAAATGAAGCTGAGATGGGGAGAGGGGAGGAGCCCAAACGGGAGCCTCTGTGGCAGCCTGGGATCCCTGCTTCCCCATTCTGCCCAGGCTTCCCTGGTTGAGGGAGAGGAGTGACTCAGGCCTCTTCTCCACAGCCCTGGAGTGAGCCCAGGGCACACCCTGGCACTCCTGCCCCGTGCAAACAATTGCACACACCAGTCGGTCCCACATGCCCAGGCGTGTGCACTTACTTGCTCTTAGGGGGGGCGTACAGCCTCTGAGGAACACTGTGTGGTGGGGATGTATAACAGGAAATGGGGGGAGGCTGGACTCACCATCGAACTCCGCCTGGCCCACACCCACGATGATGATGGACATAGGCAGTTTAGCAGCCTGGAAGGGGAGGGGGCGTGGGCAGCAAGGGTGTGGGGTGAGGACAGGAAGAGTTGGGGCACAGGGAAGGGATAGGGTGAAGGAGAGGTGGGGGAGCACATAGGACGGAAGGGAGAGGCATCAGGAGATAGAGAGGCAGGGAGGCAGAGGGCAGTGTCACAGATCTGCTTCTATGGCCCCCTGGTCCCCGTGATGCTGGCTGCCACCAGGCAGGGCCCCACTGTTGCATGGTTTGGGGGGGAGAGCCATGGGGCCCCTTTTGCCGAGAGACCACTGTAGGATAGAGGAACGATATTCCTGGCTTCCTCCACTCTAGGCCCTCACTTCCTCTACATGGCCGCACAGGTCAGGGTCTGACACCCTGGTCCTAGGGAATGTGTGAATAAGCGAGCCATAGGCCTCTGGAGGGCCTGGTCATCTGGGGGTGACTGGGAAGTCAGATCTGTCATGGCTCAGTGCCCCCCCCACCTCTCTCCAAATCCCACCAGCTTAGCAGCTGGATGAGCCCAGATTCCTCCACCCTCAGCTTTGCTCCCTGGGTCCCCCTCCCCCCCGTCCCGGCCCCTCACATTGACGATGGCCTCCTTGGTCTGCGCCATGTCTGAGATGACCCCGTCAGTGATGATGAGCAGCACGGAGTACTGCGAGCCGTCCTGCACAGCTGCCGCCGCCCTGGGGGGACACACGTGGGCTGAGGCCAGCCTGGGGGCCTCTGGGGGCTTCGGTGGGGAGCGGTCTGCTCGGGGCCAGGACCCCATGAAAGGCCAGGCAGACAGTGGGGAAGGGACCCATGGGGTGCTGGCAGGGGCACTCACTTGGCCACGTGGGTGACCACGGGGGCGAAGTTGGTGGGGCCGTAGAGCTGCACGGTGCGCAGGCTGCGGTGGTAGGCCTCCAGGATGCCGTCGATGCCGCAGCAGGAGGGGTTCTCCTGGTTGCCATTCTGGGGCAGAGGATGGGGACAAGGGGCTGAGCAGGCAGAGCCAGGGCCCAAGGGGAGCCCCCGGGGCCCACCCTGAAGGGCAGCGGATTGCCTGGGCCAGCAGGTTTGGATCCTGAGAGACCCCGCGAGGGTGGCTCTTTCCTCGGAGCCCATCCCAGGAAAGGCCCCGGCGGCGCTGGGCCTGGCCCCAGACACTCCTGGTTCAGGAGGGGGCTTGTGTGACTGAGGGCCATCAGCTCATGGGAGGGAAGGAGGGAGGGCCAGAGGCTCAGGCTTCACCTCTCTGGGGACCGAGGCCCCCAGATGTTGCCATGTTTGGGTGGGAGAAGCCCACCCCTTCCCTTTCCTGCATTGACTCGGGGAGTCCCGCAATCCCTAGCACCCCACCCACACCCCTCATCCTCTTCTTTTTTCAGGGGTCCTGGGGAACAGGTCAGGCTCAGCTGCCTCCCTCCCCCACCCCCCCTCAGCAGGTAGGAAGTGGGTTTCTAGAAGCCTCTATAGCAGCCCCATTCACAAGGACAGCTGCCACCCCACAGTTTGTGCCAGGGTCCTTAGTGTCCAGGAGGATGGAGGACAAGCCGGCTCCCGGGGGGGGGGGGAGGTCACCTGACCCTTTAGCCTGGTTTGCCCAGACTTCCTGTGCCAGCCTACCAGCGGGAACTCATGGGACACCCTGCCGTCGGGGGGCAGCTTGGCCCCGAAGCCCAGCGCGGGGAACATCTTGTCGCTGTCGTAGTGTTGGATGATTTCTCCGACAGCGGTCAGCGCCAGCGCGTAGGCATTCAGCTGGTAAGGACTCATGTAGTGCAGAGATGTGGACTGCGAGGGATTGCCTGCAATGCAGGACACGGGCTTGCTGCCAGCCCCAGCCCCGGCGCAGAAGGCAGGAGAGCGCGCCCATCCACACCTCTAACTCTTCTTTCTTCTTTTTTTGTCAGTCCTGGGGCTTGAACTCTGGGCCTGGGCATTGCGCTGTCCCTCAGCTCCTCGGCTCAAGGCTAGCGCTCTACCACTTGAGCCACAGCACCACTTCCGGCTTTTTCTGTGTATGTGGTGCTGAGGAATCGAACCCAGGGCCTCATGCATGCACGGCAAGCACTCTGCCACTGAGCCACCTTCCCAGCCTCTTTTGTCTTGAAACCTCTCTCCCTCAGACCCTATGTTTAATCTTTGTGCAAACCATGGCTGCCAAACCTGCCATATAGGACCCACCTTCTACCCTCTGGTGTCTAGCACCACAGCCCACCCAGATAAACCCAGAGCCCACAAGGCCTCATGCAACCTCAGGAGCCCCCAGTCCCTCCCTCCCTCCCTGTCTGTCTGTCCGACTGTCTGTCCATCTGCCCGCCCCTCTCCCTCCCTCTTCCTCTCCCTCTCTCTCTCTCTCTCTCTCTCACACACACACACACACACACACACACACACACACGAGTCCCCTCCCACAAACCAGGTACAAGAGAGCCCTTGCCTACTTCTCAACCCTTCTGTGATTTTAAATGAGTGCCAACAAATAAGGAATATGGAAAAAACAAAAATGAGCCCAGAGCAGCGAGGGCAGGCTAGGGTTAAAGTTCTTCTGGCGATGTGGCCACAGCCAGACACTAGAGATGATCAGAAAAGGAGCAGGAGCAGAGGTGGGCACGAAGTAAGTAAGGGCTAGGGTCCCTGAGCTGGGCCTGGTCTTACTGAGAGCCATAGAGTGCCCGGGCTCTGGTGGGATTTGATCCTTGAAGAAACGGCCTCTCTGCGTGTTTGGTGGACTCAGAGCTCACACAGTCCCATTCCCCAGGAACACCCAGTGTTCCAAAAGGCGAGACTCTGGCGCAGCCTGTGTAGCCAGATGTTAGTGTTCATGGATTGACTTGGGGGGACCTGTACCATCCTGGCTGTATCTCTGGCCCTCTAGGCCTAGGTCCCTCCTCACTAAAGAGGCTCCCTGTGGGCCAAGTACCACAGTCCTGAAAAGCCCCCTCCCCCCTCCCCGCCCATCCCCCACTCACCATTGGAGGCAGTAAAGTCAATGGCCACAGTGAAGTTGATCTGGGTCCTAGAAGAGGAAGGAGATCCAGGGAGTCACCTGGAGACAGCAGAGCTGTGGAGTGGTCAGGCTGGGCTGTCACTCAAGTGTCACTGCCTGCCAGGTATGTGGTCCTGATTAAGCCACTCATCCCCTCAACTCTGAGAATAGGACAGCAGGATGGCTCTGAGCCCCAGAGGTGGTAACAGGATGTGAAAGGCTAGCATGATGGCAAGCAAGAAACCCAGGCTGAGGTCTGCTGGCCAGAGACTGGGCCCCTCCCCTCTGCTGCTGGCTGGGGTCAGGAGCTCCTGTGGCTTCCAGTCTCCAGGAGAGGAGGGAGCTACAAGAGTGCAAGAGCCTGGGCCCCTGAGTGACTACCAGGCCCAGCTCCCCACCCAAACTTTGCAACTCCAGGAATGCACGCGCACATGTGCGCAACCCTTCCCCCCCCCCCCAGTTCTTAACTGGCAACAGTGTTCAGATGTCCCTGAGTTTGTTTGTTTTTGGTGGTAGTAGAGCTTGAACTCAGGCCCTGTCCCTGAGTTCTTTTGTGCAAGGCTAGCACTCTACCACATTGAGCCACAGCTCCTCACTTCTGGTGTTCTGCTGGATAATTAGAGAGAAGAGTCTCATGGCCTTTCCTGCTTGAGGCTGGCTTTGAACTGTGATCTTCAGATCTCAGCATTCTGAGTAGCTAGGGTTACAGGTGTGAGCCACTGACACCTGGCCTTACAAAGTTTTATCATTGTTGCTTTGAGTCTGAAATCCAGGCAAGAGCTATATATTCATTACTAGATATTTCTCTCTCTCCCTCTCTCTAGAGCTGAGGACCGAACTCAGGGCCTTGCACTTGCTAGGCAAAAGCTGGCATTTGCCAGCTCTTCCCCTGAGCGAAATCCCCAACTCCAGATTTACCTCTTAAAAAATCTCTCTTCATCTCTTGGTTCCCCCAAGTGTTTGTATCAAGCCTTATGATTGGTGGGTTCCTTGTTGGGTCAGTTGACTGTTGTCATCTGTCAGCAAGGGACTGTCTTTTTTAGAAGAAGGGGTGGCATTTGGAGGGGAAGAACTGAGGGGACACTGATGAGCTGGCTCTTTCAAAAGCAAGTGAGGCTGAGGCTGGCCCTACTCCTTAACTAGCTCTCCGCTGCTCTGGGTCCTGCAAACCTTGGGGAAGGAAGCAACTGGAAAGCTACTATGGCAACAGGAAAATGACTCCCGGCTGTCTAGTTATTCCTGCCTGTGGGCAGAGCGCAGGCTGCAGAGTACCCTGCTCCTCCTCTGCCCTGGGGGGCAGAGATGCCTGTTTTTCCTCTGGGATTCTGGGGGTGGGAGGGCTGAAAGAGAATCCTTAGATTCTATTGGCCTCCTTCCTGGACATGCATGGTGGGCACTCCAGAGCAGCTGTTTCCTTTGGTCCTCCAGGGAGCATAGAGGGGTTGGGAGGCTGGCGGGGAGTGTGTGGGGGTGCCCTAATCTGCCTGGTCCAGCGGGATGCTGCTGTGCCCTGGCCTCTAAAGGTTCCTTTCTCCTAAGTCCTGTCCATCTGCAGCAGGCTATGCCCGGAAGCCACAAAAGGCAGCACCAGGATTATTAATTACTCAGGAACAAAAGGCAGCCCAGCGTGACAGCCATGGCCCAGGCCACCACACAAGCAGGTGTGACACAGAGATAAGGACCTCCCATTCCGTTCTGTTCTGTCCCTCTGGGGGCAGCATGCAAATGAGAGGCTCCGAAGGCTAGGGATGCTTGGAAATGACCAGGCTGCAGAAAGCCACAGCTGGTTGGCTGCTTAATGGGAGAAACATGGAACAGTTTTAATGGTGGAAGAGAGCCTGGGCAGGGAGTGGCGCAGACGACCACGGGGGCCTGGGGTGCGGATGGGGACGGCGCCAATCTTGAATTCAAAAGAGCAGGCAGTGGAGCCATGGGAAAGCTTGGCTTCCCAGGCCGGCTTCTCCCTCTGCCCTGGAGAGCCGGGCAGCCAAGTGGCCTCTTGGCAGGCAGGAACTTTGGCAGCTGCTGTCTGTCTCCTTTCCAGGCAGGTGCGCTCCTCACCTGCCTGCACCTGTGGGCTCTGCGCTCCCCACGCCCTGTCCTGGCACCTGTCCTGACAGGGAGCATGCCAGGGAGGCCCCTCCTTGGGCAGGCTCTTTCTCCCCGTGAGCGGCTGGTGCATGGCTTTGCCACCGGGGCCTAGATGCCATTCCCCCTGCTCCTGGTTCTTTTTTTTTTTGGCCAGTCCTGGGCTTGACCTCTGGGCCTGGGTATTATCCGAGCTCGTTTCGTTCAAGGCTAGCGCTCTACCATTTGAGCCACAGCGCCACTTCTGGCTTTTTTGTGGTTAATTGGAGATAAGAGTCTCACAGACTTTCCTGCCCAGGCTAGCTTTGAACCTCGATCCTCAGATCTCAGCCTCCTGAGTAGCTAGGATTATAAGCCACCAGTGCCTGCCACCTCCCCTCCTCTTTTTTTTTTTTTTTGTCAGTTGTGGGGCTTGGACTCAGGGCCTGAGCACTGTCCCTAAGCCTCTTCGTCAAGGCTAGCATTCTACCACTTTGAGCCACAGTGCTACTTCCGCTTTTTGAGTGGTTCACTGGAGATAAGAGTCTCATGGAGACTTTTCTACCTGGGCTTCAAACCGTGACCCTCAGATCTCAGCTTCCTGAGTAGCTAGGGTTACAGGTGTGAGCCATCAGCGCCTGGCCTTCCTACTAAACTTAAGGGTTGACTATCTGCTGGCCTTGAACCCTACTGCCCCCTACAGGCCCCTGGCAGCTGCGTCTGTTAATCAGTGGGCCTACCACACAGCTCAGTACTGGGAGCAGTCCCGCCCTGCCCTGAGTCCCCTGGACTCCTGGGAAGGAATCCGGCAGCCCTGAACCTGCTCCTCTTCCTCTGCATGGAGACCCCCCACCCCCCCAGCCCCTACCTTGACCCTAACTCTGCTTGGGGACCTGGCACGAGCCTCCCTGGCTCACAATCCTCGGGAGCGGGGGGGGGGGGTCTTCATTGGTGGCCTCAGCTCCAAACCTGGTGCGGTGCTCACAGCCCACATCAGAGGCTTCCTTCAGCCATGGCCTCCCAGAGGCTGGGGTGGAGCTCCAACTGGTGTGGGGTCCCACGGCCCTCCCCTTCCAGGCCAACAAGACAGGGGGTGGGTCTTCCTCACCCTCCTTTGATGTAGTCCAGGAAGGTGCACTCGGACTCCACAGCAAAGGACAGCAGCGTGACCTGGAGAGCCACAGAGGGCCCAGTCAGTGGGAGCGGAGAACGGGGGGGGTCCCACCCCCACCCCCCCCCGGCATTGCACCAGAGTGCCCACACCATTCACTATGTGCTCACATTAGCCACGTGGTATCTGTAACACCCGCACAGGGGCTATTATATTATCCACACTTTACAGCCAGGGAAACTGAGGGTCCACGAGCTGACACGCTGCCAGACCCGAGGTGCCAGAGTGGGCTGCGTGCGCTTGCACACAGGTACGGCTCACACCCGGCCTGTCCCGGGTCTTCCTAGTGGATCCTCAGCTCTGCCCTCTCAGGTCTGAGACCCTCCTGAGCAGCCTGTCCCGTCCCCGGGGGCAGCTGGCCACCCAGGACCCCTCTCCTAAGCAGAAGTCTCTACTTTCCGTGCCTGGGCGATTTTGGGTTTGGCTGGAATTACAGACATCTGTCACACTGCTTGGCTGGGAATAAAGATCAGCCAAGATGCCTGGGGCTGCCCTGTCTCTAATTCATGTAAGTCACAAGGGGAGGCGAATCACAGCTCTCTGGGCTGGAGTTTGTTCATCTCTAGGCTCAGAGGGCTGAGTGAGACCAGCCCAGGTGGGCCACCACACCCAGCTACTGGTTGAGCATAGCTCTTGTGAACAATTTTGCTTGGGCTGGCCTTGAACTGTGATCCTCGAGACCTCAGCCTACTGAATAGCTAGGATTATGTGCCTGAGCCAATATGCTTGGGTCCTGATATTCTTCATTTTTTTTCTAGTCCTGGGGCTTGAATTTAGAGCCTGGACACTGTCCCTGAGCTGCTTTTGCTCAAGGCTAGCACTCTACCACTTGAGCCACAGCGCCACTTCCAGCTTTTTCTGTGTATGTGGTACTGAGGAATTGAACCCAGAGCTTCATGCATGCTACGCAAGCACTCTACCACTAAGCCACATTCTCAGACCTCTGGCTCTGTTTTTCATTTTTGTGGCTTAAACTCTGGGCTTGGGCGCTGTCCCTCAGCTCTTCATCTTAAGGTAAGCACTCTCCGCTTGAGCCACAGTGCCACTTCCGGTTTTCTAGTGGTTTATTAAAGATAAGAGTATCACAGACTTTCCTGCCCTGGCTGGCTTTGAACCGTGATCCTCAGATCTCAGCCTCCTGAGTAGCTAGGATTACTGCTGTGAGCCCCTGGTGCCGGGCTTGCTCTGTTTTTTGCTTTTTTTTTTAAATCCCCATTCCTTATTGTACTTTTCCATTTCCCACAGAGGGGTGTGTGTGTGTGTGTGTGTGTGTGTGCGCACGCGCGCACACACACAGGCCTTGGCTCCTCAACACTAGCCTCGCTTAGGGCTCAATCTTCTCCCTGCTGTAGAACAGAGACGGCTACGTACGGTTCCAGAGTTCACATACTTCTTTTTTTTCATTTTCTTCTTCGGGTTGATCACCTGTAGGAAAAGCCAGTTAGCTGTTTTTTTTGTCTTTTTTCCCCTCAGCTACTCAGGGCGTCTGTCAGTGCCCAGATGTGGCCCTGCCCCGCCCCGCCCACCTGGTGAGTGTGGGGAGCTGAGACCACAGGGAGGGGGGAGGGGCCCCACGGCGCTTCGGGACGCCTTGTGGGAGACTGGCATCTGGTTACACAACCAGGGTCCCCGATTAACCCAGTGTCCCATGATCAAACACCCAGGGACTGTTTATTTAAACTTCTTTCTCAGGCTCCCCCAACACGCCCTCTGCTCTGCGCAGCCAAGAAGGCGGCCTGTCGCAAAGCAGCCCTGCCTGTGCCTGTCTCCCCGGCTGGCCGCTGCGCCTTCCCCCTCCAGTGCCCCTTTCTCCCCCACAGCCACCTCCCCTGGGGACAACTCCTTTTAGAATTTGCCACCCTACTCCTAGCCGGGTGCTGGTGGCTCATGCCTGTCATCCTAGCTCCGCAGGAGGCTGAGATTTGAGGATCAAAGTTCAAAGCCAGCCCGGGCAGGAAAGTTCAGGAGACTTTTATCTCCTTAACCAACAAAAAGCTGGAAATAGAACTGTGGTTGAAGTGGTAGAGCACCCATCTGAAGTGGGGGGGGAAGCCAAATGAGCATAAGGCACTGAGTTCCAATCCTAGGATTAATAACACACACGCACACACAGAGCTCCTTTGCTGTGTTCACTTTCAAATCCGACCTGCTCTCAGCTTAAAACCACATAGTAGATGCTTCCTAAAGACTGGGTGGAGCTGGGAGCCGGTGGCTCCCGCCTGTAATCCTAGCTACTCAAAAGAGTGAGATCTGAGGATCCCAGTTCAAAGTCAGCCCGGGCAGAAAAGTCTGTGAGACTCTTATCTCTAATAAACCACTAGAAAACCGGAAGTGGCGCTGTGGCTCCAGAGGTAGAGCGCTCACCTTGAGCTGAAGAGCTGAGGGACAGCGCTCAGGCCCAGAGTTCAAGTCCCACAACCAACAAAAAAAAGAAGAAGAAGAAGACTGGGTGGGTGGGCTCAGTGCTCCCCAATGGGGCTACTTTGCAGCCTCCCCCCCCCACGTGTCTAGAGTCAGTCTGGGCTGCCAGAGCGCCCACACGGAGAGCCCGAGGACAAAGCCTGGGGCGACTCCTTGCCCAGTGAGCCCCCAGGTGTTCAGCTCTGGCAAGGGGTGACCCAACACCCTGGGCCGTGGCAGGTTGGGGGGACCCTGCTTGCCGTGGAGTGCGCCCCCAAACTTCCAGCGCTAGCTGACAGGACATGAAGCTCCGCGGTGCTGCAGTGCCCCCTAGGGGCCATCCTAGGAAGTGCCCTACTCCGCTCTAAGCCGCTGTCCCCACCCACCGCCCCCATCCTCCTGGCAGGTGTGAGTTTTGAGGAGCTCTGGGGACAGTGCAGCAAGGGAGAGACAGTCCCCACCCTTGGGCATTGTTATAAACAGGCAACAGGCACAGGGGCCCTGGCACAGTCTGGGATAGAAGGGTGGGGGCTTTCCGGAGGGGGAACAAAGACCCTTGCTATTAGAAGACAGAGGAAATCAGGGGGAGAGGCCTGCAGGAGTGAAGGGCGGGATGGGGTAGAAGGTGAGGGATGGGCACGGAGCAGGGGCCTGGCAGCTCCTGCCGTGCACCCTGGTGGCATGCACTGTGTATCTCTAAGCCCAGATGGCCCAAGCTGAGCTGGAGCAGGGGCCAGCCCTTCACCCTGTCACCCCGTAGGGCAGTGAGCCGCAGGCCGGGTCACACATCTGCCAAGATCTTTCCCTGTCCCCCGCGTTAGCCTCGGAGGGGCGGGGCAGATTTCCATGGGAGTGCCGCCCACTGGCCGCGAAGGTCCAGCGGCCACGCTACAGAGGGGACATGTGCAATCCAGATGGCCCAGCAGGCTTCAAAGCCACATGCGTGTGGCCCGGCCTGTGGGCCACACGCTGAGCACTTTGGTCCTTTGTGGGAGGCTGGGGGGGGGGGAGAAAGTCCCTGGCGGGGGAGGGAGGAGGAGGCTAGGATGGCCGAGGCTGGCTGAGATGAAAGGAACAGATGTGGGGAAACTGAGGAGGTAAGGGCGGAGTCTGGGGGCAAGGGGGAGCTGTTGGGGGACACTGGCCTAAGAGTGAAGGCTCAGCTCCGGCTGACAGGAGGAGAGCAGTGCTGTGCTACAGAGGCTCAGCCCATGCATGGGCTGCGGGCTCGGCATGGGACAGGGGTTTTTGTTTGTGTTTTTGCCATACTATGGTCTCAACTCAGGTTCCTGCACTTGCTAAGCAACTGTTTTACCACTTGAGCCACTGCCCCGGTCCTCTGTGCTTATTTTCTCAGATAAGGTCTTGTGTTTTTTCTTCCCTAGAATGATCTTCCTCTTGTCTATGTCTCCTGCATAAGCTGGATACATGAGCCACTATGCCTGGCTTTATTTGCTTGTTTGTTTGCCACTGCCAGTCTTGGGCCTTGAACTCAGGGCCTGGGCTCTGTCCCTGAGCTTCTTTTGCTCAAGGCTAGCACTCTGTCACTTGAGCCACAACACCACTTCTGACTTTTTCTGTGTATGTGGATCTGAGGAATCGAACCCAGGGCTTCATGCATGCTAAGCAAGCACTCTAGCACCAAGCCACATCCCCAGCCAAATTTTTCTGGCCAGAAGTTTGGATTTTTTGCCTTGTTTTGTTTTGTTGGTTGTGGGGTTTGAACTCAGGGACTGGGCGCTGTCCCTGAATTTTTTGTTCAAGGCTAGTGCTCTACCACTTGAGCCATAGCTTCACTCCAGCTGGGAGTATGTTTCCTCTTCTTCAAGATTGGGAGGGTACCCCAGTGGGAAATAAAGGCCCCAAGTCGGAAATGTCCTTTGAGGGCAAATGTGCTATTTCCAGCGATCTGACACATCATCTCCAAAGCTCCCAGCCTTGGTTCTCCTGACTCTTCTGGAAAAAGCAGCAATTTAAGCAGCCCCAGAGTCTGCTCTACTCCCAACTCAGGACTTCCTTCCTTCCTTCCCTCCCCCTGCCCTGTCCCCACCCCCTTGGGGGGGCGCTGTCACTCATTATTTGGAGTCAGAATCCTGAGACTGGGTACACTCTCACCCTTCTCTGAGTCCCGGTCTCCTTGGTTATAAGGTGGGACCACAAGACCCACGTCAAAGGCAAACAGGAAGCCCACAGCCTAGCTGGCACCAAGTTCACGACAGCCGTCACCAAAATGGCCCAGAGCCACTTACCACGAGAACCACCATGCCCAGGGGCTGGTCTCACCTCATAGATGTTGAACTGGCTTTGCCCGCGCGCCAGCTCCCGGTAGCTGGTAGTGAACTCCCCGATGAAGTCGTGGCTGCAAGGGAAAATGGCTGCTGAGCCGGGGGCCCAGGATGCGCGGGTTTCAGCCCAGCCTGGCCTCTGCGCCCCTCCCCGGCTCCGAACTCTGCCTGGGCCTCCGAGCAGCGCCTCATGCCTGCTGTCACTCACGGAGCAAGAAACCCAACAGTCACCTAGCAAAGAGGAAGGTTCCTAGAGGAACAGAGCCCCCTTCAACTGAGCTCCTGTCTAAGCCAGCAGTGGAAGGCATTTGGGCAGCGCCGTGGGGAACTGGGAGCGAGTGCAGGGATGAATGCGTCACTGCTGGGTGCAGTCAGGAAATCACATTCACTGATCAGAGGTGATCGTGGCATTCATACTGACCAGACGCCCTCACTTTTTACACATTCCCAGTGAAATGGTAAGAGGTAAAACGCTATGACGAAATTCATTTTAAACCACCTGGGTAAAAAAAAACCTGGTTAGGACAAATACCCAAAAATTGTCAAATTCAAGCAAGGGGCTGAGGGATAGTTATTAAAATACTCATTTCTCTCCTGTATATTGAACGTTTTCTCCCCCAGTTAAAGCTTTTCTAGCCAGGCACTGGCAGCTCCCGCCTATAATCCTAACTACTGGGGAAGCTGAGCTCTGAAGATCAAGGTTCAAAGCCCACCTGGACAGGAAAATCTGAGATTCTTGTCACCAGTTAAACACACACACACACACACAGAGCTGGAAGTGGAGCTATGGCTCAAGTGGTAGAGCAGTATTCTTGAGCCAAAAAAGCTCAAGGACAACACCCAGGTCCTGAACTCAAGCTCAAGCCCAAGGACAGGTGCTAGGCATCTCAGGCGATTGCCAGATTGACCTCTGACCCCTGAGCTCAAGTGATGTCCCTCTCAGCCTCTCCCTCTTAACGCCTACGGTGCTAGGCATCAAAACCATGCCTCCAGCATGCTACCACCGCACAGCGACACTCCCAGCCCTCCACTGCTTGTCTTGTTTTGTGCTTTGGGTGATGCTGGAGTTTGAACTCAGGACATCTCACGTGCCTAGAAATCCTATGCCTCCAGTCGTTCAGCTGAGTTTATCAGATAAGATTTCCTGCTTCTGCTTGGGCTGGTCACCATCTGCATCTCTACCACCTCCACCTCCTAAGCGGCTGGGACTAGAGGCATGCCTCACGAAGCACACCATTAGCCTCCTCTCCACGTGGCAAGGCAGCGGGAGATGCTTCCCACAGTGTCCATTTTTGTGTGTACTTGTTTAGTGCAGTAAAAGCTTGTTCAAAACAGACCTCCTACTGGCCTTGTGGCTGCCCTGTTGGCTTCATTATTCTGTGGGAGAAGACAGTAATTCATTTGCGGGGCCTGCAGAGTGAGGCCCACCGGGTGTCCTTGACTCTTGTGCTCTCAGGAACTTATAGTGTATATGTGTGAGCATGCGCACTGGTACTGGGGCTTGAACTCAGTTTTGTTTTGTTTTTTGGTAGGTTTTGAGGCTTGAATTCTGGGCCTAGGCGCTGTCCCTGAGCTCTGTCGGCTCAAGGCGATCGCTCTACCACTTGAGCCGCAGCGCCACTTCCATTTTTCTGGTGGTTTATTGGAGATAAGAGTCTCATGGACGTTCCTGCCTGGGCTGGCTTTGAACCTCGATCCTCAGATCTCAGCCTCCTGAGTAGCTAGGATGACAGGCGTGAGCCACCGGTGCCCGGATGTTTTGTGCTTTTGCTTGGCTTTTTTTGTTTGTTCCAGGCTGGCATTCTACTACTTGAGTCACACCTCCACTTCCAACTTTTTGCTGCTTAATTGGAGATAACTAATTGGCAGGTGTGTCTGCCTAGGGCTGGCTTTGAACTGTGATCCTCACATCACAAACCTTCTGAGTAGCTAGGATTTCAGGCATGAGCCACCAGTGCCCAGCCCACATTGGGTTCATGCCCTCCTCCTATTTGCAGTCCTCAACCTGCTAAATGGCAACTTGAGGGTACTAGACTTGGTGTTTGTCTCCTAGAGCCATGGAAGAGAATGTTCTAGATAAAGGAAACATAGGGCAGATGGCAGGTTAAGATGAGGTATATATCATGAATGGATGTGTGGAGCTGTCTCATCTGGCTGTGAGGTGGAGGGGAGAAGAGGGAAGGGGAGGCAGGGACTGGGAGGGGAGGGGAAGGGAGGGTAAGGGAGAGGAGAGAAGGGAAGGGGCGGGGAGGAACTAATGTGGGAACCTGTCTGAGCTGGGCTTTCTTGCTGGATGAGCTTGACCTGACTTAAGAGCCACATGCACAGAGTCCTTGATCTGAGAGGAGACAGTCGCTCGTGTCCACACCGGACTTGCAGGAAGCAACTATGACTTCGGGACTCTGTCATCCCCTAGGTGGCCCCGTTGGCTAGCCCGGCGGTGAGAGGTCCCCCAGCCAGGATGACCGGCTTGGCTCTGGCTCAGTGGAAACGTAGGAGCCAGTGCGGGTCCTGGGCTGGAGCTTCGTGTGGCTTGCTGCGGTCCTGCTGATGAATTGGGTCTGCAGGAGGGAAAGGCCGCGGCCTCCCGGGCAGCCCAGGGGGCACCGCCGGCCAGCTGCCAGGCGCAGCCCTGCGGCCCTGGCGCTGGAGTCCACTGCAGCAGGCTCCCTGACAGACTGCGGGCCGCCCCCACGCGCGCATAGCGCATGGCCTGGACACTCGCGGCTACTGGTGTTTGTACCCTACTTCGCCAAAGCCCCAGTTCACCACACATGAGCACTGTGGGCATTGCCCATCACAGGGCAGCTACTGGGGAAAGGAAGCCAAAGGACAGCCAGCCCCTCAGCCAGGGCGGCCCGGGCATGGCTCCCGGGGCTCCCCTCCCCCCTCCCCTTCACCCCCCTGACCTGTCAGCCGCTTACCTGCCATCTCGATCCCAGTCGTACACTTCCACCTTGATGGTCCTGGAAGACAAGAGACTTTGATGGGCTGGGCCCGCCTGCCCCGCCCCTGGGGGGGGTGGGGACCCAGGACAGGGTCTCCCCAGCCCCTGGACCAGAAAGGACGCCAGCCTCCCTCTGGCCACTCAGCCTTTGTGGTCCTTTGGGGTGCAGCAAAGGAATTAGGGACAGAGGTGGCCGCAGACCTGTGCAGGGACTTCCCAGAATTTCCCGGATGTGGGCAGAGCAGCCTCACCTCTCCTCTTGGCCACTCCAGAGGGAGCCTGAGCCCAGGGGGAAGACAGCATGCGCGCACACGAATGGGGCTCTGACGGTGGGGCCATGACCAGATCTCAGGCCTAAGCAGGATGGCTGCTGGGGTGGGGGAGGGGAGGCAGCCCTAGCCTCCATGTCAGGGAAGAGCCCTGCTGAGATTCCCCATCCCAAGACTGGCTCCTGAGTGAGGGTGTAATTATCTTCACATTTGAGCCTGGCTGCTTTAATTAGTTTGTTTTGACTCCTATGCTTGGGGCTGGGCTCCGAGAACCAGTTTTATTTTTAGCCCCGTTCCCATGGCAACAGCTAGTGGTCCAGAGGTGGGAGGAAGGAGGGAGAGGTTGCAGGTTAACCCTTGGTGCTGGCTGCTCTGCCCTCGGGGATGCCTAGGGGCACAGGAGCTGCCAGGGCCCTTGCGAAGGGTCTGGGGAATTGGAGGGGGCTGGGAAGCAGGGGTGTCCAGCCTCCAGCTCCAAGTGGGGTGTGCAAGGCAGCTTTAATGAGCTCACAGATCCCCACAGTGGCAGCCTGTCTTCTCCAGCCTGCCAGGCATTGGTCATGGGGCTCTGTGGCCCCCCAGAAGGAGGCGCTATTTCCCTTCAGATAACGGACATGGGTGGGGGTGAGCACAGGATATGGGTTCACAGCATGAGGTAGAAACTTCCAGAACGAAGGGATGCCAGGAAGGCTGCATCCAGACTTGATTTTTTTGTAACGTAGATGTGCAAGCTTACTATTTACAGGAATCTTTCAATTCTTGTCAAATACCTGAATGAAGTGAATGATTATCAATAGCACACACGAGCAAGTGTATGCACACACACACACACACACCACCCATGCACACACACACACGTTCTTCTATGTCTCCAAGGTGGGGTGGAAGCAGAAAGAGTGGAAAGAGGCTTAGATGTGGTGCTGGATGGCTCTAGGCTTGGAAGAGAAGCCTCAGAGGTGGGACCTGCACCTGTCAATCTCCCTGAGCCCCAATCCCTCATTTTGTTTTGTTTTGTTTTTTTGTTGTAGGTCCTGGGGCTTGAACTCTGGGCCTCAGCATTGTCCCTGGGCTTTTTTTTTTTTTTTTTTGCTCAAGGCTAGCACTGTACCACTTGAACCACAGCTTTATTTTGTGATTAATTGGAAATAAAAGTCTCAGAGACTTTCCTGCCTGGGCTGGCTTCGAACCATGTTCCTCAGATCTCAGACTCCTGAGTAGCTAGGATGACAGGCGTGAGCCACCAGTGCCTGGCCAACCTCTCATTTTAAAGAATAATTTTCATGACATCTACTTGAGTCAGGAGACTCGAATCTGGGTACCTGGGGTTTGTGATTTCTGGTTCCCTATAGGCCAAGGCTGGCAGATGTGTCTTTGGTGGCCTCTGGCCCTGGGTGTGGGCCAGATATGGGGCCATGTGTGTCACACAGTGAAAATAACAGCCTCCCTCCGCTCATTTTCAAATGGTGGCACTGAGCGCAAGGGGTCCCCCAGCGACGTAGCCAGAGACCCACAGCTGGTGATGTGTGAGGCGGGACAAGATCTAGTCCCTGCCTCCCAGCCCACAGCCCAGGCACGGCCTCCCCTTCCTCAGAGCCCCCAGCTCTGCAGGGTATCCTCACAGAGCCCGGCAGGGGGAGCTCTCGTCACCCAGCAGCCGCACAGGTGATGACAGGTGACCGCAACAGGCTCAGAAGCTGTGGGGGGCAATGGCAGCCACAAATCACCAGTGCCACAGCCAGAGAGCCTGATGAGTCGTCCCCGTGTGGGGTGCGTCTCCTCTGCAGACTGGAGCCCTGGGTTTCGAACCTGGCTACAAGCTAGATCTCATGAGCAGCGTTGTGACCAGAGCCCCTACCCAGCCCTGGCCTCTGCACACCACACCTCAGAGCCCCTCCGTGAGCCTCTTGGAGGGGACAGCGGCCCGATGTCTTCCCCAAGGCCTCCTGTCCTGAAAGCCTCAGGTACAGCACAACCGGAGTGGCCGCCAGAGCCAGGGCAAGGCCAGGCGACAAGCCTGGCTGCGATGAACACAGCTGTAAGCCAGCCCTCAGGCCCCGCCCCCTGTAAACCAGCCCTCAGGCCCCGCCCCCTGTAAGCCAGCCCTCAGGCCCCGCCCCCTGCCTTTCCCTGTCCCAACAACATAGGGGGTTCTGAGGTCACGGGGATCCCTTCTCTAGGCACACAGGGCTGTGAGGGTGAGCAGGGCCCCACATAGCTCAGAGCAGCTATCCCAGGACCTCCAGTTCCTTCTACCTAGAAGGCCATGGCTGGCTACTTCCTGTCCCCTGCCTCAGATCCCGTCCATCTCCCCATGTCCATCCAACCAGCCTTCCTGTGATCCCAACTTCCAGCTTCCCACAACCTGTGTTAGACTCCACTATCTGTCTTCCCACCTCGTCTCATTTTGCATAACTTATAGCTATTTAAAGGACATGTGTGTGGCCAGGTGCTGGTGGCTCATACCTGTAATCCTAGCCCTTCAGGAGGCTGAGATCTAGAGGATCGAGGTTGGAGGACAGCCTAAGTTGGCAAACTTTGCTAGACTCCATCTCCAAAATAAACAGCAAAAAAGTAGGACCAGGATATGGCTCAAGTGGCAGAGCACCAACCTAGTAAGTATGAGGTCCTAAGTTCAAAGTCTGATACTGCAAATGCTGCTGCTGCTGCTGCTACAAAGAAATGAAATGAAATCCATGTGCATGTTTGAGCTCCTGAGGGTCAGAGCAGCGGCTCCCTGAAGATAGAATCACAGCTCCCTGCCTTTGGGTGCCTGGTAGCTGAAAGGCAGCACATCGTAGGTGCTGAGTGATCATCCGGAGAAATCGTCCTTCATCGGCTCCCCCATAAGATGTAGCCACTGTAAACAGTTCCAGGTGGCCCCAGAGTGGCTGAAGATGTCCCAGGCTCCCTGTGTAAGCGGCCAGCAGAGGCCTAGCTTCAAGCCCTGGGCCCACCTGGCCACAGCCATCACCAGGAACCCTGAGGGTTCTTGCGATGTCCCCCAGCGCCCACCTCTGCCTTCCTGTGTGGTGAAGATTTGTCTGCGTGATTAGTGGACCCACCACAAGGAGTGAAACTCCGCCAGGCTTCCTGCCACCCGCTGCAGGGCCCACGCGGAAGAGGCTCAGGGATGCCAGGACAAAAGGCTACACTTTAGCCAGGTGTTGGTGGCTCACGCCTGTCATCCTAGCTACTCAGGAGGCTGAGATCTGAGGATTGTGCTTTGAAGCCAGCCAGGGCAGGAAAGTCCATGAGACTCTGATCTCCAATGAAACACTCAAAAACCAAAAGTGGCGCTGTGGCTCCAAGTGGTAGAAGAGCTCAGGGACAGTACCCATGCTGAGTTCAAATCCCATGATGGACCAAAACAAACAAACAAACAAACAAACGATCCAAGTGAGAGTGCAGAGCCCTGAGTTCAAGCACAGGAAAAGATGCTGAACTTAGGAGCGGGTTCCATCCAACCAAAAACCCCACCAGCTCTCGTCCCCCGTCACCCTTCACTTAGGGAGGGCCCCTGGGGTTCCCTCCTCACCAGTCAGGCTGGAGGGGACCCTGCTGTCCCTGCCGGGCTCCAGCCCCTCACCCCTCATCCCTGCCACCACCTTCTCCTCCCCCTGGGGAACAATGAAAGTCACCGCTGAACTCTGGGCCGGTACTGGGAAGCCCAGGACCCCCGCCGAGGGGGCTGGCACACAGGGAGGGGGGGAGGAATGGAGTGGGGAGACAGGCATGCTGGCTGGGGTCCTTCCCCCCTTCCCCCCCCATCTCACCGGTCATAATCGCCATTGCAGAGCGCTCTCACAGGGATGGAGAAGGTTTGCCACACTGGGTTCAAGGTGTTCTTCATGACCTCCGTCTTGTGGCAAATGGTGAACCTGGGCCAAGGGGAGAGAAGTTCCTGGGGTAAATGGAGACTGGACTGGAGGGAGGCAAGTCCTGGCTAAGCGTCAGGGACCTGGGGTCTAGGCCCTGCTCTGGACCTGGCGCGCTGTGTGACCTTGACAACACCCCCCCTCCACCTTGGACCTGTAAACCCACCACCCAGATGCACCCTGAGAGCCCTGGGAAAAGCTGGGGTTTCAGACTTCAGGGCTCCTGAGCCCCTCAAACTGTAAGTGAACTGGGGGTCCTAGTTGTGTGCCCTGTCATTCCTGTGCCCTGGCTCCTGGCAGGGTGTGTTCTGTCTCCCTCTGCCTCAGCTTCTCACTAACACCAGCTGGGCGTCACCTCCAGGAAGCCTGTCCTGATTGCAGGAACACTAAGGGACTCCCCCCTTCCCCTCCTCCCCCCTCCCGTTCTCCTCCCCCGCTGCTTTTGTTTTCCCCCATTTCCGTTTCTTACTGTTTAACAGTTTGACATGATCTGTTTTATTTTTTCTTCATTATTCTATTTATGATCTGTCACTAACATTGTTTTGATTTTTTTTTGATCGGTTGTGGGGCTTGAACTCTGGTCTTGGGTGCTGTCCCTGAGCTCTTTTGCTTAAGGATAGTGTTCTACCATTTTGAGCCACAGCGCCACTTCTGGTTTTCCTAGATAAGAATGTCATGGAGTGGGGCACTAGCGGCTCACACCTGTTATCCTAGTAGCTAGGAGGCTGAGATCTGAGGATTGCAGTTCAAAGCCAACTCAGGAAGGAAAGTCCGTGGGACTCTCATCTCCAATTAACTACCAGAAAACTGGAAGTGGCGCTGTGGCTCAAAGTGGTTGAATGCTAGTCTTGAGCAAGAGACCTCAGGGACAGTGCCCAGGTCCTGAGTTCAAGCTCTATACACAACCACCACCACTACCCCCAAAAAATGCCACAGACTTTCCTGCCCAGGCAGGATCATCAGATCTCAGCCTCCTGAGTAGCTAGGATTACAGGCCTGGCTGTCACTAACATTTAATCTCCACATAACAAGGAATGTAGGGCTGTTTACCTTCCTTTTCTTCTTTTTCTCTTGGTGGTATAGGAGTTTGATTTCATAGCGTTGTGATTGCTAGGCAGGCTCTCTACTACTTGAGCCACACCAGTCCTTTTGGCTTCAGTTAATTTTCTAACAGGGTCTTACATTTATTCCTAGCTGGCCTGGACTTCAATCTTCTTATTTACCCTTCCTACATAACTGGAATTATAGGTACACACTACTATGCCCAGCTTTTTTTTTTTTTTTTGGTCGGCCGTGGGGCTTGAACTCTGGGCCTGGGCGCTGTCCCTCAGCTCTTCAGCTCAAGGCGAGCACTCTACCACTTGAGCTACAGCGCCCTCCCGGTTTTCTGGTGGTGTATTGGAGATAGGAGTCTCACGGTCTCTCCTGCCCGGGCTGGCTTTGAACCATGATCCTCAGATCTCAGCCTCCTGAGTAGCTAGGATTACAGGCGTGAGCCACCAGCGCCCAGCTTTTTATTGGTTGAGATGGGGTGTCAGTTTTCTTTTTTGTCCTCACTGGCTTTGCACCTTCACCCTCTCAATCTCCGTAGCTGGGATTACAGGTATGAACCACTGTACCCTGTCTAGTTTTGTCTTTTTTTTTTTTTTTTGGTCAGTCGTGGGGCCTGAACTCTGGGCCTGGGCGCTGTCCCTCAGCTCTTCAGCTCAAGGCTAGCGCTCTACCACTTTGGCCACAGCACCACTTCTGGCTTTTTCTGCTTATGTGGTGCTGAGGAATCAAACCCAGGGCCTCATGCATGCAAGGCAAGCACTCTACCACTGAGCCACCATCCCAGCCCAGTTTTGTCGTTCTTGATCACCTGGGAATCTCTAGCACTGAGAATGAAGTCTGACATTTAGAATGCATTCCATCATTTTTTTTCTATGTAAAGGAAGGAACCAATGACTAATCGCCGTTGAGAAGGTTAAAGTCCCTGCCTTGGATGGTCCTTGGTATAACCTCTTTAGTGTCCTTGGTGCAAATCTGTGAAGCTGCTTAGCACACTGGAGCTCTGCGCAGGGGTAGCCTGGCCCGGGCCCAGTCCAGCGCCTGTCGCAGAAGCAGCCCGCCCCGTGGACGTGGATGGGTGCCTGCTGCCCACACCACGTCCAGCCCTGTCCTGGAAGTGGCCTGCCCCGTGGGAGCTCTGCCCCAGCACACACCGCCTCGTCATGCTTCTCTAGCAATCTGCAAGTCAAAATGTCATTCTTGTCACTGTGGCTTCTCTCTCCTCCGCTCCTCACCCACCCGCGGGAGTGGAGCTGTGTGTGTGGGAGAGAGACCTCGCTGCACACCCGAGGTGGGCCGGGTGAGCTTGGGGGGCCCCGTGCCCGTGGCTGGGGGCAGGGAGGTGGCGGAGACTGGGGCTGGTGACAAGGAGGAGCGACAGGGTGAAGAAGCCTCGCGGAGCTGTCACTCACGCCGCGGGGGGCGGGGCCTCCTCACTCTCCCCATCCTTTGAAAACTGTGCTCTGGCCCCTTCCCCTTGACCAGGCCTCCGAAGGCCCCAGCCCTGTCTCAAGATGTAGCCCAGGCTGGCCTCAAGTGTCAATCCTCTCGCCTTGACCCTCCAAGTGCTGGGGTTACAGGCATGCACTACCACACCTCAGCCCATCCGCACTGCACCCCACAGCTGTCTCTGTGTCCGTGGTGTGTGTGGGGAGAGCGGGGGGGGGGTTTGCCCAAGAAAGCAGCCAGCAGCTCGGTGGAAATGAAACTTGCTTCCAAACAACCTCTAGCCCAGCAGGCCAGCAATCCCGGCTCCCAGCTCCCCTGTGAGGAGGGGCGGCGCACCACGCTGTCTTCCAGCCCGGGCACCATCCCCTTCCACCCACCGAGCTCACCCTGCCAGTCGGGAGCCTCTGCCTCCCCTTCCCCCCCCCCCAGCCCAGCCCCTGCCAGCGCTCCCTCAAGTCCGGGGCTCTGTATCCACCCCCCAGCACATCCAGTCGGTGGGAATTATTTAAAGAAGCCCTGCTGGAGTCTCCCGGAGACAGAGAATTCTTTTGTCATGCAAATGCCCGCACCTCATTTCCCTGTTTGTCGTTGAGGTTTGAAAATCAGTTTCCTGCAGCTGAAACACCTCCTCCTGCTGCCCTCTTCCCTGCACACACACACACACACACACATGCCCACCGATGTGCTCACACACGTGCACACCCCCCCAAACGCACACACACACACACACATGCCCACCGATGTGCTCACACACGTGCACACACACCCCCAAACGCGCACACACACACACACACACACATGCACACACGGGGCAGCATTTCAGGGCTCCCCAAGGTGCCTGCCCTGGACCCGTTCTTCACACTCACTTTACTGCTCCCCAGCTGGCCCTGTGGACCCATTATCTTCCCAGCACCCTTCTAGCAGCTTCTCCATCTAACCTCCCTGGCTCTTCCTTCCGCAGAATCCTAACGGTCTCCTGAGGCCCCCTCATCCACCGGCTTCATTTTATGGCTGAGAAGACAGGCCCAGAGAGGGCCCTAAGTTTCCTGGAGTCACCCAGCAAGCAGGCTGGCATGGGGGGGGGCTGGGCCCCAGACCCTCACCCCTGCCTGCATCTTGCACCTTCCTCACGCCGGTGTCCCAGAGGTTAGGGAAGGGGGGAGGGGAAGGGAGGACAGGGGAGGGGAGGATGGAGGAGGGCAGGATAGAGGAGGGCTGTAGAGACTCTAGGGTTCTAAATGAGCCATGGCAGAGTGGGGGGGAGGCAGCATGCAGTGGGGGCAGCCCCAAGTGAGCAAGGTGTTCCAGGGAGATGGGGCAGACTTGTACAGAAAATGAGCAAGCTGGCTGGTGCCAGTACCCACGCCTGCAATCCTAGCTACTCAGGAGGCTGAGATCTGAGGACTGAGGTTCGAAGCCAGCCTGGGCAGGAAAGTCCATGAGACTCTCATCTCCAATGAACCATCCAAGAAAGCAGGAAATGGAGATGTGGCTCAAGGGGTAGAACAGGAGCCTTAAGCAAAAGCAGCTCAGCTCAGGAACAGCACCCAGGCCCGGAGTTCAAGCCACAGGACCAGCACACGCATGCACGCACGCAGAACAAAGAAAATGAAAAAATGAGCAGGCTACCAGAGGAGTCTGACTCCCCTACTCCCCCTATGCATTCCCAGCGGCCAGCACTGCGAAGTACCTAGCACCCAGCACTGAGATCTTTGGAAGGCACAGCCAGCTGCCTGCATGGATCCTGTCTACATGTCAGGATGGTAGCTCTGCAGCACGTAGGGGCCCAAGCAGCCCCAAGGACGT